ACATCATAATAATAAATATTAATAATAGTTCAGAATAAATTTGGTTTTTATTGAATAACTAACTATTCATTTGTAAATTAGTAATTAGTAAGTATTCATTAAATKTTGTTATGATTAATGATAAATTACAAAGTAAGATTTTCAATAACATACAATACTTAACTAATCAAAAGAGTAGGTACCTATATGGTTTTTAATGTTTGGGTGTTAGGTTAGGGATAAAATTAATTTATGAATTATGAAGCACCTATAGAGTAGGAATTTTTTACGAAAATCGATGGCAAAGGATTTTAAAGTCTTAAATACAAGTTAGAGTCTATACTTGTTTTTAATCAGTGACACAACTAGGATCTATTTTCGGTAGGGGTTATTCATATAAAAAAATTAACTAACAAAAAAAAGGTCTTCACTCTGAAATATTTGACTTTTATAAACATTTCGGCGGTTTTACAACCCCCAAACCCCTCCCATAGTTGCGCCACTRTCTATAATAATAATTATTACTATGTGTTAGGTACCTATAGTCTATATTGTATTTTATAATATTGATGGTTAACATCCCTCTTACAAAAATTCTAGTTAGGTTACCACTAATTTAATGTATGTTATCATTGGCTTGGTGAAATATTAATGATTTATTTACAGATATTAGGTATGTTTCTAAACTTATTTCCTAAATTTTGTAATATCCGTGATATAAAGATATAAGAGGTATAAAGTATAGTTAACAAAGCTGTAGGCTGTTTGCTTTAATGTTCAAAAATTTAAATTATCTATTTAAATTGTATGCATGAATAATTTATTATCAATAGTTATTATTTAACTTTTAATCTTTTATTAAATTAAATTTTATTAATTTAACTAATTACCGAAGTGATTTTAGTTTTTTTAATTTCATAATTTTTTTATTCAATTTAATATTTTATTGATTATTTAGTGGTACCTAAATATGTATGTAAATGGTACTGTGTGTGTGTGTGTTATCATATTTATATCATATTATCTATATCTACAACATTAGGATTTTACTATTCCTCTCAGTTCCGGTTAAAAAAAAAAGCTAATTAGTTTGCGGGATGCAATAAATAAATTATAATTATAATATATACATTTTATAATTATATAGACCATCACCATAGTTTGTAGTAATTAGTAATTTACACCTCCCCCAATTCCTAACATATATCTTATTTCATTCATATCAAACTTTTAATAATATATATAATAAAAAAAAAAAACAATACATTTATCAAGTTATAACTAATAATAGCGTGCGATATTCTTATTATATTACTTAGCAGGTTTTTTTAAATTTATAACTCACTGACATTTATATGAACAACAAATATTATATTTATATTGATTATAGGTAGGTACCTACTTTTTATTACTTTTTGCCTTTTTGTTTAGGCTCATAAATATTCGAATAATCGAACTTATATTATTCAATACTCAATAGGTACTATACTTAGCTGTGGACTGTGCTCTGTGATATCAAAATATTTATAAATCAAATATTTTTGTTTATGTTTTATTATTACGAGATGAGAAATTATTTATATATTTAATATTATATATAAGTTTTTGAAGTATCATTTCTAATGTTTATAAAATATACCGAAAATATATTAAAAAAGTGCCTATTTTATAATAAATAATATGACACTGTTTTTTCATGGGACACAAACTTTTAAACTTACTTTTATATAAAAATATACATGTATTATATTTTTATAGAAGTCTGTAATTTTTATAAGTGGTCACTGGCCAAGCCAAAAAGGGTCAATGGGAATATTCGCTTATTTACCTACTTGCTATACAATGCTACCCATATTCAATATTGATATTTGATAAGCAATAAATGATAACCATAGCAAATAAGTTATTTGAAATAACCTAACAATAACAATAATGAATATCAATAACTATATATATAGCAGTCATTATCGTTCTTTTGTTACTTTAAAATTTTAATTAGAAATTATTAAGTCATTATTAATGACTATTGAATATTTTAATATCACTCTGAAAAGTGGTCAATGGAGTGTAAATAATATATTATACTTAGGTACTATAAATTCAAAATATTATGCTTTTTACGTTTAGTTTCATTCTAGCAAACAATTAATAATAATTCCAAGATACCTATTAAAATTATTACAATATTAATATTTGAAAATTCTCCAAGTTTCGAATACATTTTTAACAAACATGTATGCCTATTAGGTACAACTGTAAATAGATCAACATTGAACATATTTGTTCGATATTGAGCATAGATATTATAAAACTGGATAGAACACACCTATACTATCCTATACCACAGAATATCTGAATATATGAAATGTAAAAAATATAAAATCATATATTCTGTGCCTATACTAATAGTCTCGCCATACCGCATCCAACGTGGCAACGTAATAAATAATAATATTAGATTTGGGTTTTCATAGGTAGTCTGTAATTATTTTATAACATAAAAATCCTGAAATTATTTACTGGTACCTAACGGCTAACATTACTTTAAACAAATTACAGAATTATAAATTTTTAACACAAAATATGTACAAATACAATGTGTATTATAGACGTATAGTGTATACTGTAAAAGGATATTATTTTTTTTATAATTTAAAATTTTTAATAAATTTATTGATACAAAAATTGCCGCTCTTAAAAATTTGCCACCGTGGGCAATATCCCCCTTTGCCCCCCCCCTAAATGCGTCCCTGTATACTATCTGTGATATTCTGTCCATTATAATATATTCTTACTCTATGATTTAAATAATAACGAACACTGATTATTGTAGTCATCATTGATCAAGGTATTTTTAAATACCTTTGAATTATGTTATGGATTTATATTCATTTTCCCACGATACCTATAATACCTGTAAGTTTTTTTTTCGTCATATTACAATTTACAGTAGACTTAGATCTAAAATCATAAAAACGTAGTACGGCCGAGACGGCAACAGCTGATTGTTGCCCGCCGCAAAATTTTATAAGTTGTGACGTCATCTCACTCATCGGCCACGGTGGCTGACGATCGACCCGGCCGCATATTAACATACTGTACATTGCTACACGACYGCTGTTCTCTGATTGGCCGATTCAAATTTACCGCGGTTTTATTTAATAATTATTATCAAAGAATAATATGATATCAGATGCCGCGGTTTTACATAAAATATATTTAAAATTATAATAATAATAATAGNCGACCCGGCCACCGATGTGGGCCGTGATGTGGAGAAGACCGGTACGCCGCGGACGGACAACTACAGGCGAACAGTGTAGGCAGTTTTAGGCACCTCRACGAGTGCCGAGGAGGTCAGACTGTTGGAAGTCATCGGTAACGTTATTGCGCCGCCGCCGCTATTCGCCGGTCGCACAGCCGGTGTATAATAATATGGTGAAAAGGGGCGGCTGAGCGTGTGTGAAGTACAGACGGCGTTAACGGATAATATATTGGTATATTATACAGAGTGATTCTGTCGTGTGTTTCGCGCACGTTGCATTTTTCGGTTAGGGTTTTTAAACGCGGCTGCTGTTGGCCGAACCGAATCAATCGCACGGATCGGAAAAGCGTTTTGCTTTTTCCGCTTCGATATCATATTATAAGTTTCTCAGGGGAATCCTTCGTTACTTAACCAAATTTTGACTGGTCATCGCCTCATCGGCAGTGTATAAATCGCAAATCAATAAATTACGTCGCCGGCGAATAAATTACACGCAAATAAAAAGGGTTTTTTAAAGCGTGGTCACCATTAAATTGTCCGTCAATGATATTAATGTTACTGCGAAATCGTTAAATTGTTTTCCATTTAAATGCCGTGTTGGTATGTTTCGCCGTGTTACATAATTACGAGCCGTTAAACGGTGTTAACATATTATTACATATTATTGCTGTCGTGTTGTAGTCACACAAAGTCACAGATACATTATTAATGCGTTAATCGGGTGGTATATGATACGTAGTAGGACCATGCCATGTAAAATGTATACATAATATCATGGGAGCGTTAACCGAATCTTAAGACGAAAACTAGTCAAAGAACAATTTTAATTTGTAGGAAATCGGTGAGCTGCAGACTCCAAGTGTTACCACTCACAAGTCAGTGGTTACGTTTCAACTTGACTAATAATATTACTATGTCGTTGCGCGCTAGTCGATTCCGCTGGTTGTTGCCGATATCTATTTTTGTCGTCACGAGAACGGAACCGATCTCGTACGTGATATTAATAATAATAATGATCCGTGACATGCGACAACGACGTGTAATAAAAAATCGATTGTAACATTTAAATTTTTAATGTGTACCTGTACCTGCTATTATCTATTATACACCCGCGACTCGCGGTACAATCGCGGAATTACTGAYAAATCTATTCTGYGGTAAGGAAAAGCGCGACCGGTACTACACAACACTCGCCACTCGCATCGCTCTGTATACGCGCGCCGCCAGAGCCGCCGCCGCCGCCGCCTTAAATACCGAAAACCGGCAGGCACCCGGCCCAGTCAGCCAAACGCGCGCCACYATYGTGTACGTGCYGCGCACTCAAGCGTACACAGCACACAATCCGTGTGAATATCGCATTGTATTAATTCATGATAGGTAACCGTGCGATTATTGTATATGAAAACGTCATATCGTACTCGGCTAAGTTAATTTATTTACAAAAATAAGGTTCTATTTTCCTGTCGTAACGTCGAAGAATTCCATTTCAAGTGAGTACCTACATTTTACCTGTCATAATATCTATTATTGTTAATGTGAGCAAAATGCATTAATAATGCAACTTCTTAATAATTGTTATGTAAAATATTAATATCCCTTCGCCACCACGACGGACGGGTTTCGCTTTTGTTTAATTTTCCGCGCCGCGTCAAAAGCACATTTCGGCCGGAAGTCGGATTCGACGGCGCCGGGCACCGCTCGGGTCCCGTCGTCGTCGCCGCCGCCGCCGAGAAAACCGCTTGCCCCTTCGTGCACGCAAAAATGTCATTTCGTAAATCGATAGCGGCGCGTACCGGCCCTTCCCACCCCCGCCCCGCCGGTCGCTCTCGTCCGSCGAMAACCTCGTGTGGCAAGCATTGTGATATTCGTTAACGATATCGTTATGGATTCCGCGACCGAGAAMAACGCCGTCAGCTATTGTAGTCGTATCGCGACGTAATGATAATAATATATCGTATTATCCTTAACAATGGTTATCGCGGGGTGATGGTTAAAAACTCGGTGGGTTTTTCCCGAGACGTGGCCGGTTGCCGCCGCTTTCGGTGTGGAACGGCGAGGAGACCACCGCGATGTCGTGGCAACGATGGTGGTGGTGGTGGTGGTGGTGGTGGAGGATTTCGAAGGGACGCCAGATCGAGCGCGCCAATGTGTTTCCGCCAAGAACGATCTCAACGCTTTTTGTCCGACGTCGAGATTTTTTACACGCCCACGGTCCTATCGTCCATTTCGTCGTGGCCGGTACGACGCGATTTTATTTCGTGTAAAATACGCCACAAGCATATCTAATATTATTATAGCGTTAGACGGAGTAACCCGCTCGTCTGCAGTCTGTACGGTTATTTTATTCCCGCCCCCTTCTCCGTCCCCCGCACTCGTCTGAATCTTTGTTTCCTGTGGCCGCCGCATCACCACCACCACCCGTCGCCCTACCGCTGGGCCACAACAGCCGCCGACGTCGTTGTAACGCGTCGGCCAACTCTCACGAGCCGGTGACCTCTGCAGTGCGCCGCTACTATAATTCTCTACTCATCGTCGTGTCTCGCACTATTGTTATATCGCCATACTATAGTACWATACACATTGCTCCGGWCTCTGCCATATTGATGTTACGCGTTTAAATCGATCGGAACGCGTTTCGGCGGTAACCGTAACGTATTTTCTCCACTCCCCTCAAAACCCCACGGCGCCGCCGACTGCGGAGACGCGATCTGCGGTTGTTTGGACGAAAATTAAACACGCGATGATCACGATGCGCCGATGATAGGCTAATATGATTATTATTATTATTATTATTATTATTATTATAAATCTATAAATGATTTATTATATAATCGAATTATCGGCGCGGCCGTCGATAATCGATGAGGCCAACCGACGGTTTGTTGCGTTCTCGTCTTGCACGTAATATTATTATTACTATTTTTTCAGAATACTTTTAATGTAATTTTTATCGCCTTATTCCCGCTTTTCCCTTCTGCGATCACTGAGCATTGTAATTGCGCGCGCACGCACACCTTGGACCAACCGCTGACGTGTTACACGTGTGTGTATGACCTTTAGGTTAGGTATTTTATGTCGGTCAAACGCGGCTGTGTCGGACAGGGAAACGTGTTAATTATTGGCATAATGMGAATTGTAAATCGATACGCAACGCACGCGGCCTTTGCACCGCGAAACCGTGTTATCTGGTACACGGCCGGATGTGGATATCAGGCGGCGGTGCCCCGTGGAATTGCGACAAGTCTGTCGAGAATATAAAATATKTAAATTTGCGTTTAAATTTAACTACATTCCTACAACGTATCTTGCAGGTTACTAGTTTATAAACAAGCCTCGGGTTTCTCACCTAATKACATTTTTGCCGACCATCCGGAAATGATTTGTTCATATTATTATTATAAATGCACGTACCGCGATTTGATTATTGTTCGGTTCGTAATATAATCGTATAATTATAAATATTATGATACGATAGAGTTGTGCGACATTTCAGTTCGACGTTACCGGTGCCCGGTGGTGAATGGATTCTACTGAATTCGTCCGTACCACCAACTGTATCTAAAACGTTGGCCAACATTTAATTTTTACGGTTACTAAATAGAAAAATAAAAAATATTTTCATAAGATTTGAAAGGGTATTTCAATGTTTCTTTCAACAGTAAGTTTTTATTGTAAACATGAGTGGCGTACTACAATTTATATGGTCAATCATTCCAAATGACAAAATTCGATATCTATCTTGTTTGAGTACTATACTTTAGGTAGATTTTTGATAAATATTGACAATATTAACAACCGTAAGATGTTACATAATCCATGGGACGTGAGTGTAATTTCAGTAGAGGACAGACATTTTTCCAGTATCTTAATGGGAGTGAAAATTGAAAATTTAGAACTAATAATAAAGAACTTTTTCAGTATTTATGACTTACATTAAGTGTGCAACATAATATTATATTATAATACTAGTTACAGTTAATAGGTAGGTGGTACCAATTAAATCTAAGAAGATTATTCAAACATAGATTATTGATATTAAATACTATCAACCGATCTATCAAAGGAAATACTAGGTATCATATTATATTATTATCTGGTATATTATTTTGTATACGTTTTTACAATGTATTAGCTTCGGTATTAGTTAACAATTTCTGAGTAAAAATTAATATTTATTACGTCATAGATTTTGAATTTTTTTAAATGCCTGCAATGTTAGCAGATTGTTGGAATATTAAATATTATATAATGTATCATTTTCTCTATATATTAAAAATATGATAAATACATCGTAAAATATCAAATTTCAAGTGTTTAACAGTAGGTAACTATAAATTTCAAATTTGAAATTGTGCATCCAGGTATAATGTAGGTACTATAATTTAATATACAATGGCCGTATAAAATAATTTGTTCTATACCAATACAAAATTACAAAAAAACAAATTTTCGTTCCTAATAAATARTGAAATATATCTGTGCTCTTACGTCATTACTCATTACAACTAACTCTTCTGAAATCAGTAAAGTTAAAGGTAATCTATTACTTATTGAACAAATTTAGTGACAATGGATGGATTTAAGTAGCTCATAATCTTAATRTTTTTTCTAATTAATTATAAARTGTAGGTACCTATTGTTGCTGAAATTAAAACGTGTCAAGTTATAAAGATAATACAATTTCAAAATTGTATGTTAAATTAATCCACCTCCTGGATAGAATACATTCTGTGGGATATTATATAATATAGGTTCTCTTTTCTTGGTGATGAATAATGTATTATAATATAAGAAGAATATAAATTAATTTGGTAATTTCATATTCATATCATTAAGTACGAGGTTGAGTATAAACTGCAATAGTGCATTATTACTTTTTGTAAATTAAAATATAAAATCAAACATTACTTTAATCGCATTTTCGTAAGCAGAGATTATTTATAGGATCATCTCCGGCCTAAATCCAGCAAATATTTTGAAGATTTTCCTTAGTCTGAACAACTTGTTTGACCCCTTTAAATCAAATAGCTTCCTTGTTCTGCTTAGTATTAAAAAAAAATATCTACAATTTTTTTAGATTTAATTAAGTATTTTGAGGTTTCGTAATTTATTTATATRTGTTTTTTTACATAATGTTGTAATAAAACTTTGTATTATGATGTATGTTGGACGAATTAGAGATCAAGTTGTTAATAGAAATCAAATAAATAGTTCTCCTTTATCAGTTGTGTATGATTTTGTAATTAATTTTCTATATTTGCAATAAATTACATAATAATGAATAACTAATAATGTTTATTTACTGATAAACATTTTACATTAAAAAATGTATTAAATATYAATATATAATATTTACGAATGTATATATTTATTTACTGTCTAAATACTGTTTTGACAATTATAATTTTTGAATTTTGTGATTAATTTCAATTAAATTTGTGAACATTTATTTTTAAATTGCCTTTTCCTAATTACAATTAATCCTATTAAGAATTCTATTTTGTAAATTCCTCATTGTAAAATGTATATTTTTGAATTATTTTTAYTCTCTTATTTATTTTAAATACATTTTCAGTTATTTTAATGACTGTTTAGGTATATTATGTTTGTATTACTTGTTGTAGCTAAATGTATTTTCAAACTGTTCAGCACTTCAAAGTGGTGTTCTTTTTTAAGCATGTTTACTTTTATGGAGTGTAGTGATTTATAATGCTTACTAAAAAGTAATCTGCACGACCGTACCTAACTATGTAAATAGTCTAATAGTATGTGTAGTTGGTAATACATAATARTGTGCAAAGCTTAAATCGTTGATTATAGTAATATAGTGTCTTATGAGCTGTTTATTGTTTTATTTACAATCATGTATAAACATCGTAAGAATTGATATTTGTTACCTACATTTTATTAATTATGTTAATTGTTTATTATTTACTTATCTATATTTTTATTTGTTATTATCTATTCAGAGTTTAAAAATTAGTTTTTAAAAAGTTATGCTGATGCATATATGAATCATTTTTTTTTACAAAAATTCTTTGTTAGGCCATATATTACAAAGCTGAACAATAAATTCAATTGATAAAATAATCACATGACAATACAATAGTGAAAAAGACTCCCGCTTACYTAATTTAAAACAGTGTGGTAAGAGAATTTCAATTGTTAAATCCTGTTAAATGGGATAATCCAAGTAATATGKAATATTAAATTGTATTTGTAAACATTTTTCATGCTAAAGTAAATTGTATCGTATCATCTACTTATATTGATTGATTTAATCAATCCTGATTTAGGCATAAGATTTATATCTTTTTAAATATGCAAATATATTGTATTCAAAATTCAAATATCTATTTCAAAAATATATATTTTATCAGAGTTTTAAATGGCTTAACATAATTAATAACAAAAAAATGAATAATTATATTAAATCCGTAAAACTTGTTTAAAATTAGAATTTTAACAAATAACATTACGATCCTGGTAG